GTTTTTGCTATATGGTAGATTAGTTTACTAGATGGAGTTTCACCAGTAAACCTTCTTGACAGTGATGCACTGCTCATCTTTTAAATTGTTTTAGAATGTTTCATTGTGTTTACAGTGGTTTGTGCTTATAGTACTGCAATTTTTAGGGGGGGATGAATTTCTTAGAAAAACACACACGATTTCATTTCGTGTTTCTCATATAAAGACTTTGATATTGTCAGCATTATTTTTAAAAAGTTTTTTTTGGTGAAATTTAACTTCTAGCTTTCCTGTTTATATTCACTGGGAAAATAACTCTTCTGTGTTGTAATTCTAAGTTCATAAGGGAAGTGTATCAGGTATTGCAGAAATGCTGCAATTTCATAGGATCATCATTTATATGATGAATAGACCCAGGAAGTGAGGGAAACACACCCTGGTGAATACTTTCCAATAAATAGCACAGCTTCTATTCTGTACCAGTGGCAGAATACTTGGCCCTTATCAATTACACAGGTAGTTCACTGAGCTTAGAAAAAGCTTAGATCCCTGGGGATGATTGAGGTAAAGGACATCATGATGGGATATGGACTGAACATATGATTCTGCCTTTAAAATGAGTATGTAGAGTTGTAAAACTAGAAAGTATTTCTCCCTGGTGGAGATATATTTTTCCAAGAACACAAATTTTGTATTACTTTTCCAATCTAATCTCAAATGACTCTAAATCATTGCTCCAGTTCCAATCAAGATTAGATGTAAATTCAATTCCATCTTGTTTCTTTCACTATCCCCCAGATCCCTCTTTCCCCAGAGGTTGGAGTGAGGGTCAGGAAGTGGGCTGGGGGTGGGGGCGGTGAGGGATGGTATATAAAAATCTTGATACTTTTAAAGAGAGAGCCAAACATACTTATTAAGGGCGTTGGACTTTATATGTGAAAAGTTTGATTACTTACATAATTTGGATTAAAGTGAAACTTAAATAAACAAAGAAAGAATCCTCCTTACATGAGAAAGAGTTACCTATAGTTGGAGACACCTAGCTACAATTGAATAGACTGATCGCATAGAATTTATACCAAAAATGTCTGATGAACAAGAAAGTTTCCCTGTGAAGATGCTACTTGTCACCATTGTAGTTACTGGTCTATTTTTCAGGAAAATGGCATTTTTAGATATGACATGAGCACATAAACTACCCCTTCTAGCATAAATGTCTCAATGGGGTCACACTGTTGAAAAGTACCATCCTTCATTTTGGGAGGTTGGGTTCCTGGAGGGCGGAGACAATCTTATTTGTGATTTTATCCATTATTTATTATAGTACCTTACATACTATAACTTTACAACAGATGATTAGTCATATATATGTATATATATGGGTATATACATACGTAATAATTTGTAAGTATGTAGAAAAATCCGTAACAACCACTGAAATTATGTTAAAATAACCTAAACTACGTAATATATATTACAAATGGATCACACACTTTAATAATGTATGCTCTTGTAGAGGAAATAATGTTAAAAAATCTACAATAGACATGAATTAATTAGCAGAAAATTATTGTAAAAGTGTAAGTTGATCTAAAAGGAACTGTACTTGTTATTGCAGGTTTGGCTACAAAAGTACGGCTACCTTCCACCGATTGACCCCAGAATGTCGGTGCTGCGCTCTGCAGAGACCATGCAGTCCGCCCTAGCTGCCATGCAGCAGTTCTATGGCATTAACATGACAGGAAAAGTGGACAGAAACACAATTGAGTAAGTAATGTCACCCACATTCCTCTCATTTTTGCTTTTGAGACAAACTAAGTAGTCTAAAAAACTTTAAATGAATTCCACCAACCACAAGTTAAGTAATTTATCTCATGAACTTTCTTTGGAATTTAACCTATGTTAACTCTATGCCTCTGAGATTTCATCAGCTCTGTAGGACAGACTAGAACTGCCCCATAGAGTTTCCAGGGAGCAGCTGGTGGATTCGAACTACCGACCTTTCGGTTAGCAACTGACTGCTTAACCACTGTGCCACCAGGGCTCCAAAACATTAAAGGCTCAAAGTCAAGTTTACTGCCTTGATTTTCACAACATATTTTTTTTAAATAGCAAAGGAAAGATGAACAATGAGAATAAAAATTGGTGTACAGTTTAAGTTACTGCAAAAGGAGAGATAAGCAGTGATGTGCTGGGGTCGGCTTGTATAGCCAGCAAGAGAATATTGTGTACATCCTTTTTCAGATCTCTGTTAAGTGATCGCATTAGTAGCTTGAAATTGACCATAGTGAAAATATTTACATCATGGAAACTGGGAAACAATGCAAATCAGGGTCTTCCTTTTTTTTTTTTTTTGTCAGAGAGCTTGTTGGTAATTCTTCAAATGAGTTAAATCAAGGTGTTTTCACTGGGAAATCTCTACTTTCAAGTTCTTTTTTAAAAGGTGCCTGTCTTTACTCTTTACTAGTATTTGTTATTTTATTAATTCTTTGATCAATCATTTCTTTATTCAAAGAGTAACTGTTTATTGAGTACTTAATCTTTGAAAAAGGCATATATGGTAAAAATCTCTTCTTCCAAGGAACTTAAGCTGTATAACTAAATATAGTCACAAATTATTTTACCACACGTACACTGTAACTCCCAGAATATTATGAAACATTTTTATTTGTGGATCCCAAAAGAGGAAGTGATTAATTGATTCCATACAGTGTAGAGGGAAAAATCACTTGTGCTTATAGGGTCCTTGATATTCACAAAGTGTATCTATTTCCATTATTTAACTTGATCATCTTACGTGAACTCTCCACAACAGATAAGACAGGATTTTTTTTTTTTTTTTGGTCTTTCTCCTTTTTCAGATAAGGAAATTGAAAATGAAGGCTATGTGAAGTCCAGAGTTAGTTGCAGAATCTAGATCTTTTGACATTTAGTCTGGGAATTTTTCCACTGTACCGTGCTGTCTATCTAAAGAAAAACACATTTCTTTTTCCTTTTAAAACTTAAATAGAAATATCTGGGCTCAAACATATTTAATTAATTTTGACATATTAAATTAATTTAATATACTTTTGAAATTATATGTTGCCCTCTAATGCTTACATCACAATGTTAATCATACTGTTTCTATTTCATAAAGATAGAAAAGCACTTGAAAAGGGCTTGAGGTTTAAACTTCAAAGCAGTCTGAAAATATAAATAAATTACCTTCCCTGGCACTTTAAAGAGACACATAAATATTAGAGATGGAAAATGAGAATCAATAATTTATATAATTTATTCTGCAATAATTCTAAACTTACCAATATTGGGAAAAGAATTTGAATATTTTTGACCTGCTGCTCTCTAACCATTGCAATTCTCTCTTAATAATGTAATATCAAAGTTTCATTTTAAGTTATAACATACCTCTTGTCCTAAATAAATATAGTTTTTAATTAATAAGAAAAAAAAAACCAGCAAGTACTATGAATTGTGCTCTTCATCCCAACCTTTTACAAAATGCTTTGGACAGCTTTCTTGTTTTTTAGGGAGAGCTGTTATTTTCTGATTTACTTTTTTGGAAAATATGACACATTTTTTAAAAAATACATGTAAATTGTGGATTTAGAAAACAAATTACTTAAATTGTTCAAATGTCTAACTTGACTAGTGCCAGAATAGTAAGGAAGTATTTAATAATTATTACTAGATAGTGAAATTAAGAAAATTAAATCCGACAGCAGGTGGCCTCTGTGTTTTCTCCGTTTTGAGAGCTCTTGTTGGTCATTGGAAGGACTTGGGATGGATAGGTTTGATTTCCTAAAATAGCTGGGAAAAAGTATTTGTCAGGGTATTAACGGAAAGGAGTGTGTGCAGGATTTATCTGGGCACTTCTGTGGAAAGGTGTCTGAGCAGTAGCCAGTACATAGTTATTCTCTGGCCAGATGATGTAGAAAATATGGACCTATAGATGAGGACACAGGTCTTTTTCTGGTATACAGTGGCTTAGATTTCAGACTAGGAGACAAGATGTTGTCAGTGAGTAGGAGTTAAAGGAGCATTTCTGCAAATTATAGAATTATGGAGAAAAGATCAACTGTATAGGCAGACCTCAATTTAAAACCAAACTTTTTTTTGTTTGGTTTTCTTGGTGTTCATTTTTTGTTTTCTTTTCTTTTCTTTTTTAACCAAACTTTGTTCTAATTTATACCTTAGAATTGAAAACACATCTTGTCATTTAAAAAGTGCTATACCTGACAGTGATTTCTAGGTGAATCTACTCAAGCCTCCTTAAACCCTCTTCACCTTCCCTTTGTAGCCTGCTGCGCCTCCTGTGTTTTCTCATGAGTGCTTGGGGACTTCACCCTCATTGTCACTCAGACTACAAACTCTGTGGCTTAATTTGCCTCCTGTCTATTTTTTTTTTTTTTCCCCCACTGATGTATTCCTAGTCTTGAGGTGTTATTGCTCTGGGTACTAAGCTCATATAGTGTACTGTTTTTGGAAGTATAATCCCCATAATCATGCTTTTAAAGCAATTGTCTGTGTTTTGTAATCTCAAATGAATGTGTGGTAACAATCCTTGTTGAAATTGCACTCTATTATTTTACATTGTCAAATTATCAGGTATGAATTTATATCTAAGCTTTATGACAGAAAATATGGGCTACAGTTACAGACCTAAAATTATTCCTTAATATTAAAATAATACCTTAGGTTCCATTTTCAGATGCTATAAACTCATCTTATTTTATACTGTTGTCAAGATAAGTTATTTTTAAAATCAAATAAATTATATCCTTCTTTGGCAGACAGGGGAAACCTGGTGGCACACTGGTTGAGAGTTCATCTACTAATTAAAATGTCAGCAGTTCAAATCCACCATCCGCTCCTTGGAAACCCTGTGGGGCAGTTCTACTTTGTCCTATAGAGTTGCTATGAGTCGCAGTCTACTGTCGCAGCGGCGACAGTTGTCGAGGCGGCGGAGACAATAACCAATGCCACAACTCTTACAGAGAAGTGGGGCCAGGAGGGTCACTCTGAGGAGTCGAACCCCGGCTTCAGTCCCAGGAGTTTATTTTATAGTCAATACAGCAAGCAGTGAAGCAAATAACAGAACAATGGGCTTTGGGTGCATAACAATAAGTTTCGAGCAAGGGAGAAGGAATTCAGGTAAACAAGCCAATCAGTAACAGGACAATAGGTTTGGGAAAACAAGTCGTGCCTAACCTCTTTCTCAACGCTGACAAGTCTCCAACATGTCGTATATAGCACAGAGGCCTGTGGGGGCTGCAGTTGTCAATAGTGCAGCCATGTTTAAATGGCATATATCCCCACAGTCTACTCAACAGCCTTGGGTTTTGTTTTGGTTTTTTGGCAGACAGACATGTGGTACATTTAATATATAATTCTTGGGTAATTGAAAGTACCACCATTTGTCACTTTGTCATACTGTGGTGGCTTGCTTATTGCTGGAAGCTAAGCTACCAGTATTTCAAATACCAGCAAGATCACCCATAGTGGACAGGTTTCAGCAGAGCTTCCAGACTAAGACAGGCTAGGAAGAAGGACCTGGCAGTCTGCTTCTGAAAAAATTGGCCAATGAAAACCTTATGGATAGCAGCGGAACATTGTCTGAAGTAGTCAGGTTGAAAAGGACTCAAAATATGATTGAGGAAGAGCTACCTCCTAAAAGTAGAGTCGACCTAAATGACGTGAATGGACTAAAGCTTTCGGGACCTTCATTTGCTGATGTGGCACGACTCAAAATGAGAAGAAACAGCTTCAAACATCTGTTAATAATCAGAACGTGAATATACGAAGTAGGAATCTAGGAAAATTAGAAATTGTCAAAAATGAAATGCAACAGTTAAAGATCGATATCCTAGATGTTAGTGAGCTGAAATGACTGGTATTGGTCATTTTGAATCAGCAGTGATATGATGTACTATACTGGGAATAACAAATTGAAGAGGAATGGCATCGCATTCATCATCCAAAAGAATATTTCAAAATCTATCCTGAAGTACAGTGCTGTCAGTGATAGGATAATATCCATAGGCCTACAAGGAAGGCAACTGTTATTCAAACTTACACACCAAATGCTAATACTAAAGATGAAAAAATTGAACATTTTTACCAACATCTGTAGTCTGAAACTAATCAAACATGCAGTCAAGATGCATTGATAATTACTGTTGATTGAAATGTGAAAGTTGGAAACAAAGAATAATCGATAGTTGGAATATATGGCCTTGGTGATAGAAATGATGCCGGAGATGGCATGATATAATTTTTCAACAGCAACAGTGTATTCATTGCAAATACCTTTTTTTCAACAACAGAACCTGACTATACACATGGACCTTGCCAGATGAAATACACAGAAATCAAATTGACTACATCTGTGGAAAGAGACAATGGAGAAGCTCATTATCATTAGTCAGAACAATGCCAGGGGTGGACTACAGAACAGACCATCAATTGCCCATATGCAAGTTCAAGTTGAAGCAAAAGAACATTAGAGCAAGTCTACGAGAAACAAAATATGACTTTGAGTATATCCCACTTGAATTTAGAGACCATCTCAAGAATAGATTTGGTGCACTGAACACTAATGACAGAAAACCAGATGAGTTATGGGATGACATCAAGCACATCATACATGAAGAAGGCAAAAAGTCTTTAAAAAGACAGAAAAGAAAGACAAGACCAAACGGGTGTGAGAAGAGACTCTGAAACTTGCTCTTGAACTTAGAGCAGTTAAAGTGAATAAAAAAAATAAT